CCTGAGAAAAGATCTTCAATTCGTATGATTGGAACCTATTATAGAAATATCATGGGACCGTCTACATAGCACGCTATCATTATCCCTTCGATAGAATTTAATTTCAGTGTTTATAGCATGAATGGATTGTTGACACGTTTAAGAAATGCCTTGACACCGCAGGTTAACAATTTTGCCTTTTCTTAGTTCTCGGGTGGCCATATCATATTTTGATATTCGTAAAATTGCTAAACAGACATGAATCAGAAAAATGAATTGATTGTTGATACGTCTGACAATGGCCGGTGACATTGTAGATTAACAATTATGCCTTTTCAATATAAAAAAAACGGGGGATTGTTTTGTTTACAACATGTAAGTCCCTTCTAACTTTTCACGTCGATCAAATCATATTTTGATCTTCGAAAAATTGCTAAACAGACATGAATCATCAACAACAAAAAATGGATTGCAACACGTCTGACAACAGCCGTTGACATTTGAGGTTATTTTTGTTCGCCTTTTAATAATTCAAATGAATGACGGTTTGCTTTGAACATCAACAGATTGCCTTTTCAATATTAAAAAAATGGGGGATTATTGTGTACGTCAACATGTAAGTCCCTTCTAAGTTTTCGCGTCGATCAAATCATATTTTGATCTTCGAAAAATTGCTAAACAGACATAAATCTTAAAAATGTATTGATTGTTAGATGTCTGAAAATGGCCGTTGACGTTTGAGGTTATTTTTGTTTGCCTTTTAATAATTCAAATGAATGACGGTTTGCTTTGAACATCAACAGATTGCCTTTTCAATATTAAAAAAATGGGGGATTATTGTGTACGTCAACATGTAAGTCCCTTCTAAGTTTTCGCGTCGATCAAATCATATTTTGATCTTCGAAAAATTGCTAAACAGACATGAATCTTAAAAATGTATTGATTGTTAGATGTCTGAAAATGGCCGTTGACGTTTGAGGTTATTTTTGTTTGCCTTTTAATAATTCAAATGAAAGACGGTTTGCTTTGAACATCAACAGATAAGCCCTTTCTCAGTTTGGGGGTGGATCAAATCATTTTTTGATCTTCGAAAAATTGCTAAACAGACAAGAATCATCAAAATAAATGGATTGCAACACGTCTGACAATGGCCGTAGACATTTGAGGTTATTTTTAACAATTCAAATGAAAGACGGTTTGCTTTGAACATCAACAGATAAGCCCTTTCTCAGTTTGGGGGTGGATCAAATCACATTTTGATCCTTGGAATATTGCAAGACAGAGATAAATCATAAGGACGAAAAGATTGGGTAAACAGAAACCAGGGCGGTATCATATCGATATTTGTTGTAAAAAATACATTATACATACAAACTATATTCATGGTAACCCTAAAAATAAAGATAAACTTTAGTACTGGTAATGCGATTGCATTGTGAAAGAAAAGGTGTGGAAAGGATCAGAAACAGTTGATCATGTAGCATGTAAGTATTGGTGTGCACTGCAAGGTTCTGGAGTCATCAAAATCATAATAAATTTGACCGAGTCTTGGTAAAGTAACAAGCACTCACATAGAAAGCTATATATGGGACAACACACATGGTGTCGGGGCTAGTACTACCTTGATTTACTTGTCTTTCTATGCTCATTACTCAGCCAGTATACATTTTCTTCCAAAATTGTTTGGCACATGTCATTTATTTGTAATCTTGAACATTCAGTGTAAGTTTCGTTTGATTCTGTGAGAATTATTATTTTTTTTTTTACCAGTACTGGAGTTTATCTTAAGTTCATCACTCATTTTTCAATGTGAGGGCAGACAGGAGAATCATAAATACATCTTTAAAACTATATTATGAAAGAAGATTATTCATAAGGGCTTTGTATACGCAGTCGGATTTATCCTATATCACAACCGCAAAAATAAATCATTCATAAGATAAGATGAAGCTTCTATATTTGTTCGAGAAATGTTTTCTCATTTTCAATAATCTTTTCCTTCTTTTGCATTTCGGATTAACCCACTAAAAACAAGCTAGTTGAAAATAGGATGTGTCGTAATGAATAAATACAGCGTTTTGTGTTGTACTCTGACATTTACTCCATCTCATTTAAATCCCGTCTGCACTAGTTTGGGCGGTGGGGATTAGACCTCCCTGCAAGGTCACTGACAGGTGGTTATCTCATCAAATCAGCTCTCAATTAACATAAGAAAAAGACGATCATGTGAGACCAGCAGGCACCGATTAGGCAATGTTTGCTATATAGAGGGCGCAAGTAGCTAAAAGTAGTGCAGTTGGGCTTTAACATAAAATACCTGTGTTTCTAAAACAATGATCACATGAACGCAACCCAAGGGCAAATTTAATACCCTATTGTTTGTCCTATAGAACTCATGTTCGGGTCACGTAATACGTCAATGTCACGTAAGCACATTTCCATAAGTGACGTGCAGGGCTATGCGTAGAGTCGCAAAGTTTTGCGTACCGACTACGCCGAGCGTACGCTGGCCTACGTAACTATACGCTGAGGGACGAAAAGGGGTATGCGGAGTGGCCGCATGTTTTTTGCGTACTTTCAGCGTAGACACTAGACACAGAAAGTACACATTTTTTACGCAAGTCTAAGCAACAACACGCTACAGTACGCCAAGCCTACGCACTAGTACGCTACCCTACGTCAGTCAAACGAAGCAATAAAAGCTTGCGCACACAGTAAGCAACCGCACGTAAATGTAAACAGACCTGTACGCCAGACCTACGTAAACGTTCGCAAACCTACGCCTGTTATACGCAATCGTATGCGTAGGTACTCCAATCGCATACGCCGTAGGTACGCGGTGCGTATGTACAGGGTACGTAACCATACGCCATCGTACGCCAGCCTACGCATAACCTACGCAGGGACTACGCCGAAGCAACATTTTTTTCTTGAATACGCAGCCGAATTTTGGCGTAGTCGGTACGCCAGACTACACAACTCTACGCAGATCCGGTGTGAAAGGGGCTTTAGTTTGATTTTTCGCAGGTACGTGCTACCGTGGAATTCCTTTACATTTGACCCAAAATAAAAGACATTCATCGAGAGAAAATAATAGATAGAATGACCACACCCTCAAGACAAATATTTAAGGAATAAGTTATCTTGAAATCTATGGAAATGAAATTCTACGCGACATCTGGATCCCAGAGGGAAACATGTGTTAGCAGTGTACAGACTGAGGGCATCGATGAGTTGTATTACTTCTGACATCGCCTGACATATAAACACTTGTTTTTTGTTGCTGATTTTTTTCTTCCATGACGTGTTCAGTGGGTCTCAAGAACTATGTCCTAGATCTGACACGACTTCTACACACAATCTTGAAGATGCTTACCACACACTTATGAACACGTGTAACATTATATATATATCTACTACTTTCTTTATTTGATGTAGACATTGAGAGAGAGAGAGAGAGAGAGATAGAGAAAGAGAGAGAGAAGGAGAGAGTGTGTGCATGTGTCTGTAAGAGATTGAGAGAGAGAGAGAGATAGAGAGAGAGAGGGAGAGGGGAGATAAAGAGAAAGAGAGAGAAAGAAAGAGAGAGAGAGAAGAGAGAGAGATAGAGCGTTCTTAGTAGGTCCATGGATAGAGAGAGAGAGAGAGAGAGAGACATATAGAGAAATATAGAGATATATAGATAGAGATATAGAGAGAGAGAGAGAGAGAGGGAGAAAGAGAGAGAGAGAGAGAGAGAGAGAAAGAAAGAAAGAGAGAGAGAGAGAGAGAGAGAGAACATAGATATGGAAACTGAACATGCACAGAGATATAGAAAACCATCAGTTCAATTCCATTCAAATGGAACGAGAGACGAGAAGGAAGAGAGAGAGAGAGAGAGAGAGAAAGAGTTAGAAAGGGACAAAGAGGCATAGCCGACAGAGGAACTTGTTCTTCATGTAATTTCTGTAAAGTTTTTTGGGAGCAATATTACTGAAACGATTTCAAACTAATTCCCACGTAATCTCTGCCTCCCCCACCTGATGTTCGAGGCGCAGAGGACCTATAAAATCTAATGCTATAAGTAGGATACTGTAAGTCATAGATTTTAATAAAACACTCTCCTTCTTTTCCTTTCCCCTTATTATCTTGATATATTCATCCAGTCATTTTGGTTAACGTATGCTCATTTTAGGCTTTCCATGCTTAAAAAAAAGAAGTCTCTAAGTGCTATGTCTTGACTACATCTCGCGTGATTTAATGTACGGTGTAAACTGCTTATAAAAATGAATGTTAAGTTGAATTGAATAAACCGGTTTACTAACATATTCAAATTTATGGATGTTTCTTTCCTGGGGACCTAGTGACAAGTTTGTTTAACCTGTTAATAGAGACTTTTAGATTGAGTGGACGAGAACACAACGTACGCCGACTGGTCATGCGTGTCAACGTACTCAACTGACCATGTTGACTACAATTAGAAATCTTATCTTAGATAAACATGCATGCAGGAAGTAACACTATGAACATGACGGACTAAAGAACATCCCTTCACTGCTATATGTAAAGATATGTAGAACATGTGAATATGCATGTGCCACCTGTTCTACACATTTTTACATAATAGCAAGGAAGGGATCGATGTTCCTTTGTCTACCTGAGGAACTGTATATTTTATGCGCACGCGACATACTAGCTAGTACCGTACTAGATTTAGGAAATCAAGGTTGACGCATTCTCGATCGATGACTGAGACGACGTGACGCATGCGCAGTGCCTTAAAATGACGCCACACGTTGCAGTCAAAGCTGTCGACGTGCAAATCTAAAAGTCCCTATTAAATAATGAACTACAGCACTCGAAATCCAGTCTACATACATAACGTGTTGCTATGTCGAGCAAACCTCGGGCAAGCTTTCAGGTTGTCAAGAACAACCTTTGTTTAAAAAGTATGGATAACATTTGAATAATTATGTTCGTAAATCGTTGCATTGAATTGAATATCAGCCCCATACGTTTATATCGATGTTGGTTTTTCTTACCTTCCATAACGTATACTAACGACCCCACATCGCCTTCTTTGATAATGCAGCTGCTTTTGCTGTATTCCACGGGATACATGCAGTCGACTATCTCCTGGATCTGGGAGGATTCCAAGTTCTTCATGAAATCGTTGTCTAATATTGCCGATTTGATGCATTCTCGTGCACTGTGATAGAAATATAAAAAAAAAACACAAAGGAAAAAGGTTATTATACGATTCTGGTCATTTCTGATTACAAACGTGTGTTATTGGGTAACCCGTGACGTAAAGAAAAGCACTTAAAGATACAATTCAGAAGTATGCGGCATTTTCATGGATTCTTTAAATGTAAGACAAACATGGGTGTCCCCGTTACTTGGACATTTTGGAGGACACAGTGAAATAAGAGAAACACACAGAGAGAGAGAGAGAGAGATAGAGAGAGAGAGAGAGAGAGAGATAGAGAGAGAGAGAGAGAGAGAGAGACGGACGATCAGAAGGGGATGTTGCTTGCAGTGCGAGAAGAAAAGCTGAAAGAAAAGGAAGGTCAGAGTGAAAAGAAAAATAGGCCACGAAGTGGATTTTAGATATACTTCGACACGGCATCATTGAAAATCGTAAATTGGAGATCAACGTAGTTCATGGAATAAGGCCTACCATTTTTAGAACAATTGAACAAAAAAATAGAACGAGATTTATATTCGCCTTCTCCATTACCGCGCAAAGGCAGTCAAGGAAACGCTCCATGAGACGTACGCTTTCGACGGTTCCTTGAATATATCTCTTATAACTAAACTCGTTCTCGAACGAGAGCTCTATATACTTCACATATCAGATTTTTAATCAAATAAAGTTTTATTCTCCTTACCTAGATCCTAATCATATAAGGATGGATCAATTAAGGAGTACAAAGAGACACAGAGATTACTAATGTTCTGTACATGAATGACCAGATAAAGTGCTTCCTAACTAACCGGGCACTAAAAGTTATTGGAAATGCTGCAATTAATTTTGTAAGTGGTATGTTTGGAAAAGTAAAACGCTGAAATGTTTGTGGATTCGTACAAAAATGCATCTACTCTTGTGCGCATGACGATTAGATAAATATACATGTAGTGTAGTGCCAACATGCACATGATATTCGTCTGTTTTTGAGCCAGAAGGGAATTAATTCTGAGTTAAAGATTATGTTTAAGGTTTTAACTTTTAAGTCCGATACCATCCCAATTCTTAGTCTTCCTCTTCCAGGTTTACCAACCACCTTCCCTCCCAAGATATCTCTGAGCATATCATTCCCTCTTTTCATACCTTCTACCCATATTTTCGTCTCTCTTTCTCTTTATAACCACGCCTGACGCAAAATCTCTTCTAAATGAGCCATCCTTCCTTCTAAGATGTCTCTGAGGATAATCATTCTCCTTCTTCCCATACCTTCCATCTCTATTTCCGTCTCTCTCTCTCTCTCTTTATAACCACGCCCGGCGCGTACCCTATTCTAAATGTTCCATCTTTCCCTTCCAAGAGGTTTCTGAGCATATCACCCCGTCTTCATACCTTGCATCTATGTTTCATTCTCTCTTTCTCTTTATAACCACGCCCGGTGCCAACCATCTTCTAAATGAGCCATCTTCCCTTCCAAGATGTCTCTGAGCATATCATCCCCTCTTCATATACCTTACATCTATGTTTCCGCCTCTCTTTCTATCTGTAACCATGCATGCCTAGAGCCAACACTCTTGTCAATGTTCCATATTCCCTTCCAAGAGGTTTCTGAGCATATCACCCCCTCTTCATACCTTGCATCTATGTTTCCGTCTCTCTTTCTCTTTATAACCACGCCCGGCGCCAATCTCTTCTAATTTAGCCATCTTCCCTTCCAAGATGTCTCTGATCATAACCATTCTCCCTCTTCTCATACCTTCTACCCATATTTCCGTCTCTCTTTCTCTTTATAACCACGCCCGGCGCCAACCCTCTTCTCAATAAGCCATCTTCCCTTCCAAGATGTCTCTGCATGAGCATATCATCCCTTCTTCATATACCTTACATCTATGTTTCCGCCTCTCTTTCTATCTGCAACCATGCATGCCTAGAGCCAACACTCTTGTCAATGTTCCATATTCCCTTCCAAGAGGTTTCTGAGCATATCACCCCCTTTTCATATACCTTACATCTATATTTCCGTCTCTCTTTCTCTTTATAACCACGCCCGGCGCCAACCCTCTTCTAAATGAGCCACCTTTCCTTCTAAGATGTCTCTGAGCATAATTATTATCCCTCTTCCCTTTTCGTCTCTTTTTCTCTTTGTAACCACGCCCGACGCCAACTTTCTTCTAAATATTCCATCTACCCTCCCAAGATGTCTCACGGCATAATTATTCCCAGAGCCAACCCTCTTCCCAATGCGTACGTTGTACATGAAGAGGGCCGTGAAGGAAGTGCGCTCTTGCTCCTCGTCAAACAGGTAAGCATACTCATGATCATTAGCGTCTTAATGGTTAATGAAGCTAGAGAGCATACCGGAATGGTCAAGGATTGGATGAAGAGCTGAAGAGATTGATTGATTGAAGAGTGAATCATTAAGGGAAGGGTAAACATAAGGCTCGAGAGAAACACCATCAATCATGGAAGATACAGCACCGCACTGCATCCAACAACCATGCTACCCATGCATGCTCCTTGCAAACAGAATGGCATGAAATCTATAGCTCATGTTGATTTGTTGCAAGGCGGAACGAGTCCCTTCCTCGCTAAAAGAGTTGTTTTGGTATAGTGGTTTATTCACCTGACTCTCAATCCAATGGTTGAGGGTTCGAATCCCAGCTCGACACTAACGTATTTTGGCAAGGCATAAACCCACATTTGCCACTCTCTAACCAGTTGTAAATGGGTACCTGGCTGGGTTAGTAATAATTGCAGGAAGAACAGCTTTGTTACTGATGGGGCTTCCCTTGGTAAACAAAACTATTATTATTCGTTTATTATCAGTGTGGCTGAGTCTGGAGCATGTAGACTATCCCACGTCACTGTGCGATTGTAGCATAGATAGTCTACATGTTTATACTCCAGACTCTGGCTTTCACTATTTGATTGGTTGGGAAACAAGATATTCCACTACAGCTGTTAGAAAAAGGATCTAGTCCCTTTCGCGCCAAAAAGAGTATTGTGGCTGAATATGGCGCATGTAGACTATCCCATGTGACTGTATGATGGTAGCAGTGATAGTCGACATATGCTCTTACTCCAGACTAGGGTTTTTACTTCTAGTATTTTAATTAGTTTGCAAAATGGAAACAACATATTCCTCTGCAGGTGGGGTTAACATGGTGGAGGAAGGTTGGGGAGGGCAGTCAATACTGAATTAATTAGATAACAGCGAAAAAAAGCCAAAAATAACTCCGAAAAATTGAACTATAATCTAAAAGAATAGACATGGAGAGCATCAACACAACATGATCGGCACACGAGTGCGATGCTAATGACAAAGTTTTACTCAGTCGTAGCATGGATGTGATTTTGCACCCCACACTGCTTAAATTGGAACCTGTTTACTTAGAAGGGGTGCAATGTTGCATCATGGGGTGGCGGTGGCGGTGCATTTGGTACCGCCCTTTTAAAAGTTTACACACCTTTCTATACAGGTCAACACACTATGACTCAGACGGTTGAAATGAAACTATTTAACATCAAATTGTAAAATTAAATTATGTACTCGATTATTATTTTAAGAATAAAAAGCCAACCCCAAGACTAACGTGTAGCTCCTATTTTGTTCAGAAGCATTATCAGAAATACTTTGTTCAATATTTAGTAGTCTTTATGATACTGTAGAGATACATATTCTCAAATCGTTTTATAGTGGATCAAGACTTTTTAAATTATTTTCTTTTGATCTACGTATCGGACAATCACAAATGATGATCGGGCAGATCATCCACTCTCATATATTGTACATTAAAAACGAATATCATATGAAAAACGAATATTATATCAAATTGAAAATACGTACGCATTTGAAAGGGGACTGAAAAGTCTTCTCCATGCGTTCTTAAATACATCCATGCCGTAGGTCTACATCGTGAAGTATTTTCTTGAAACATATCTACGGAATGATTCTTGTCGTTCTCTTGTCTCGGGTAGCAATATCAGGAGAGTAGCACATCCAAATGACCATGATGATTCAAACATAACTGCGCACTGAAGATGTATGTTCACACTTATGAAGAAGATATACTGGTGGAAGAAGGAATAACCAACGTTATACTCATAGCCTTGGTCAGCAATACCTCACAAGGTAGGATAAAGCAGCCTAGAATATGAAACGAAGTCGTAAATGATGCAAACAAAACGATTGTCTGAGAACAAACGACCAACACATCACGCATCTACCAGTACTAAGTCGCAAGGTTGACAAATGATCGGTCATGAGACCTATCAAAACACCTTATATAACAAAACAAAACTACATGTACTTTCACTCTTGTCCACTACCAGCACTTATGATCAGGTCAATAATAGAGAATTATATATACCATTGATACAAGATTCATCAGGATTATATTTCTTGTAATTTATCGCCGTTGCGGGAAAAGAGAGATTTTGTATAATCCATCAAATATTTTTTGAAACAAATGTTCCTTCCCATGTTTCTTCCTGAGGATTGAAATGGGTGATATAAATATTGCAAAAATGTTTTGGGGTTTCAGATGGTATAACTCTATTAACAAATAAACATTTACTTTACTTGTATTTAAGACAACTGTTGCTGCGCTAGCGCCATGAGCATCCCTGGACGGAGTGTGCGCTCTATAACTTTATACACTATCATTATTAGTTATATTACGCAAGTATTATTAGGTAGGCCTAATTTAAATCCGCCTTGCACATGCAATAATTGCTATGTCGGGCAAGTTTCTGGGAGAGGCTTCGTGGAGGGTAAGTATGCATATAATTTGAGTACGATATCAAATCATGATGAAACATAGCCAGGAGACGAACGGAATAATGATCATATCGAAAAATAGCAATGGATACAGACAAACTAAGGCTTGTTTGTTCTTGTCTTGCGCTCATCATAGGTAATCGCAAGAATGAACAGGATACCGAAATCAGCTATGATTTCCCCGTTATTTTTTTCCTCGCAATTAAAGATAATAGACTATCATCGGGTAATCATTAAAAAATATCCTTAATGTCACAACTAAATGAAGGTTCTATTCAGAATTCCAGCGAAAGAGGGCTCTATACCCCTGTTGGGCCATAATATTAGTACACCAATACATTAGAACGGTAACATGTGTTATACGCCAACGTCTCTTTAATCTTGATACCATGATCTCTCCCTCTCTCTCTCTCTCTCCCCCTTCTCTCCCCCCTCTCTCTCTCTCTCTCTCTCTCTCTCACCATCTCTCTCTCTCTCTCTCTCTCACCCTCTTTACCCAACCCATCTCTCTAGCGAGTTCATTAAGACAGCTTCGAGCTGTTTGTAGTTGATTGCAGTAATAAATATCTTTATATGTGAACCATCACACCTGGGGTTCCCCAAAGCAAACTCTAGTCGTACGTGTAGGGCCATGTGGATCGTCGCTTGATAGGATCAGGCATCATATATATATATATCTGAAGCGAAAAAGCACTTCCCAGAACGATATGACATTTAACATAGTGTGTAACGACTGCGAGAATCAATACACATACACAGTCAACAATTAAATTATTCATACCCTTCCCAAAGTTTTTATTTTTTTAAGTATGTAAAAAATTGATTTGTCCCGATTGAGGCTTCTCGATAATGTGACATATTAAAGCTTACATCTTAGAGTATTCGACAAAGGCCATAGTTCAACCTTTCCGCCTTTCATTCTCGAGTAACAAAAAAAAATGATCAAATTTACAAGGGGTATGAATAATTTAGTTGTATAAAGTATGTATAAAGGGGATGACATCATAACAATGAAAAGAAAGAAGTTACTCAGATCAGTCATGTGATAGACACCAAACCGTTTGGCCAGGAGGGATTGGACCTCCCTGCAAGATCACTGACAGGTGGTTATCTCATCAAATCAGTTCTCAAACAACATACGAAAAAGAGGATCATGGGGGACCAACAGGCACCGATTAGGCATTGTTTGCTATATGGAAGGCGTAAGTAGCTCTAAGTAGTACAGTGGGGCTTTAAACCCCAGTCGGTATTTATCCAGTATCCATGGATGCACGGCTGCCCCTATGGGAGGACCGGTCATCCATGCTTGGGCGTTTCCGCGTATCCATGGAAACGCGTTTGCATCCCTCTCATATTTTGTAATTGTTTATACTCTTGATAAAAACCAGCCCCTTCTTCAACTGAAAAGGGAAGAGGTCCCTGAAAATGTGTGTACACATAATAATCAACAGTTGGAGGATAATAGCATGAAACTCTAACGAATTCTTCTCTTTATTTATACATCTTCCAAACAGGGGAGTTTCTTTACACCATATGTATATATATATATATATATATAATATGTTTGTATTACAAAAACATCTTACAATATTCTTCTCCTTCTTAGACCAATTTTGATGGTCGTAAGAGCAAGTGCATTCTTGTTTTTTTTTAAAAGGATATAAACTGAAAGGCAGTTCTAGGTGTTAGAATAAAGACAGGATATTCGCACATTTTACTTTCCTCTATGTTTGATCGACGAGTATGGGCAAATACATCTGAAGATACTGGTACTTTGTGAAATAATATCATATCCTTGCTCCGTGTTTGCCCTCTGCAGTACATGGTTAAATTGAGTAACATGTCTAAACCTTTGTTCACTTCTTTACTTGCTTTCAACAATTTTGACTTTTCAGAAAAAACCTTTGGACAGTTTTTGTCTTTTTTTGAAATACATTACCAAGTTGAAGAATCAACATAACCTTTGATTCTGTCTCTCAGAATGTATGTATCTTTCGCTGCCCTCTTAATGAAAAGGTCACCATCTCTACAACTCCGGAACAAAAATGGCGTAAAAATGGACAATGCCCTAAAATGTCTCTGAGGGCACGCACAATTACCAACCATTACAGCCCCTAAGTGCTCCATGCTTTTTCTCCCGAGAATATCAAATTCTGGTATTGATATTACCTCGCTCGTGATCGAATTTAGGAATTCCAGCAGCGTGAGAATAGGAAGTTTGACACGTCCATGTTAACTGGACATGAAAAAGTAATTGAGCATGACAGCTTCACCTTTTTAGATTCAGTGTCTTTGCTTTGGATCAGATAAATGGAGGCATGCAGTGATGGGTAGACAAATAATTATCCAGAAACTTTAAGATGTATCCAGGAGAACCTAGAAAGAGAGAGAGCGAGGGAGGTAGAATGAAATGGGTAGAAAGAGAAGGAGGTGACAGTGATAGTATGTATGTATGGATATATGTACATATATGTATCTAAATGTAAAGAAATATGCCATACAATAGCTTTGGCAATTCTCGTGGAAATAAACACAAGTTCATTTGAAAAAAAAGACCAATAAAATAAAAACTACATTTCAATTAAAAATGAACGTAAGTTCCTCATGGATTTTTGGGTAATGTATTTTTTCTTCTTCAAAACGGCTTCCAGTCCTTCGATCACTATAAACTTGCTGTCATAGTTTCAAATAGGAAAGGAAAAATATAATTAAGGACCCCATGTATCGTATATTCATGGATGGGTATATTAAGGATGGAATAAGTTAATCTACATTGAATATTAATAATAGCTAATTAACAACGCGGCTCATCCTTTCAATTTCCAAAACTCGTAACAGAACAACGTGATTTGAATATTTGTGATAAAGTGATGAATGTCGAGGTGTCGTGGTCTAGTGGATACGTCATCGGAATGTCATTCACATGGTTCGCGGTTCGAGTCCCGCCGCGGCAAGACATTAACCTACATTTGCCACACTCGACCCAGGTGAGGAAAATGGATTCCTGGCAGGAATGAAGTTCTAGAAATGCGACGGCGCCATAATGGCGGTCATGCCGGGGTAATACCCATTGTAGAGGGCCGTGTGCCCGACACGAGCGCTATACAAGAACCGCTCATACTTATTATTATTATCATTATTATTATTATAATTATTATGGTAATAATTAAAAAATATGAAAGCAATGATGATGGGCATGTGAGGCAGCAGGTGGTTTAGATGGAGAGGATGGTGATTGTGAAGGTGAGCGGACCATGACTTGCGAGGGAAGAAGATGAATACCCTCGAGAGACGCTGTGAGGCAAATTGACAAGGACTAATCAGAGAAAGTTACGTTTTGCATAGGAAGGAGAGATGGAAAGAGATGGAGATAAATTGGAAGAGAGAGAGAGAGGGGGGATACAGAGAGAGAGAGAGAGAGAGGAAGAGAGAAATAGAGAAAGAGAAAGAGAGAGACAGAGATAGAGAAAGAGGGAGAGAGAGAGAGAGAGAGAGAGAGAAATTGGGGAAGGAGGTAGAGAGAAAATAGAGAGAAGGAAAGAGATAATAGAGAGAGGAAAAGAGAAAGAGAGGGAGAGATAAAGAGAGAGCGAAAGCGAGAGAGAGAGAGAAACTGTTACAATGTATCATGCCATGGAAGATTTGAAAAAGGACATAACTTGTTGATACAACGTTGAGAAACTTAAGAGAGGGGAGACTACCGGGGAAAGAGAGAGATAGAATGGAGAGATAACAAGAAAATAGAGGGGGAGAAGACAGAGGCAAGGTGAAGAGAAGAGGAGAACGATTGAGAGAGAGAGAGAAATAAAGAGCAAGAGAATGAAGATGAATGAGGTAAAACGGAATAAGATTACGAAGAAAAGGAAACAAATTTTAAGAGAGGAAGGGGAGACATGAGATATTATGTACATGGTGGAGGGAGAGGGGGTAATAGGGAGATGAAAAAGAAAGGAGAGACAACAAAAAGGGGAAAGAGTCTTCTAGAGTAGTGGGTGAAACAGACAAGTAGAAAAACACGGACAGTTTTGACTTCATTTAACCTGCGTACATATAATAACCGCTTCCCTTAATAGCTTTCTTCAAATCGTTTTTAATAACGACGACTGGGTAATCTATTACTCGTCTGACTCAATACAATCAAGAGCTATTTTCGTGGGCGATGTCCGGTATTTCAGGTGGGAGTCAATTGCTTGACCAAAGATGAGCAGATGGAGTATCTGTCAAACACTGTGTTATACATTCCAACAGATTGATACTGCTGGAAATGTGTTAATTGTGAAGGCTGTTGAGCTGGAAACGAAAGCACGGTTTGATTAATATCAACAATTCTTTGAAAAGCAATGTTATGTTCTTAGCATTTTTATGCAATATCGTGTCTTTACGTTTGTACTAGATAGTCTCCCCTGATAATAAATGTGCTAATAGGATACGTGGTTTCAGAGGAAATTAATTGAAATGATGGAGCTTTATAAACGACGACCACATGTTGATTTCA